TTGGCCCAAAGTCACCCAATTTTCATAGCTAAGGCTGGACTAGGACTCTCCATCTCCTGGTGACTGGCCGAAGATCACCCAGTTGGCTTTCATGGTTAAGACAGAACTAGAACTCCCCGTCTCCTGGTGATTGGCCCAAAGTCACCCAGTTTTCATAGCTAAGGCTGGACTAGGACTCTCCATCTCCTGGTGACTGGCCCAAGGTCACCCAGTTGGCTTTCATGGCTCAGGCAGGACTAGAACTCCCCGTCTCCTGGTGATTGGCCCAAGCTTTCTAACCTGGAGCCTTAACCGCTAGACCAAATCGCTACAGGTCTATTTTCAAATGCGCTTCCGTTTGTTCCCGTCCATTTTTAGTTGACGCGGACGTACCTGCTAAACTTCCCAGGGTAAGTTTGCGCCGGCCCACTTTTTCTACCAGCCAGACTCCCACAAAGGTGAAAATGAAGTTCGTGAAGGCTGTCACGGCCGCAAGCCAGATGGCGAGCCGGTCATCTCGGACCCCAGACATCTGCATAATGGTCGCACTGTAGTACCTGAAAAACAAACAACCTTATATGTGAAGTACATTCACTGATTTGGACAAGGGCGAGGTGACAGATTGGTCTTTGGTTATGGAGAGTGCTAGACAAAACGGTTCCTTTCCGGGAACTTTTATTTTCGGTGACCCGAATATTACGCTCTATCAGATACCTTGATTGGAAAGACACAATAAATTTGCTCCTTGGAAGATTCTGGCCGAATGCCTCAAGTGTATCTCTTGGCATCCGTTGTACTGTATTATTTCAAGCAATTAGTGAGCGTAACACTGGAAATAGATCTTCAGAGACACATGAGAAAAAGACATAGTGTAGTTGTGCAAAACGTGATTTCTTTCCTTCCCTACATTTAAAGACATTTCTGAAACCCAGCATCCAAATTAACTGCTCTGAAATATTAATAGATCAATGGAATGAGTTGTTACTTAGGTGGCAATAACCACTGAAGTAGGGGATTGATTGGTTGATTGATTTGTTTATTTATAATTTTTATTTATTTCAAATTTATGGCTATCTATCTTTCTATCCATCCATGTTTCCATCCATCCATGTTTCCACTCATCCATCCATTCATCCATCCATGTTTCTACCCATCCATCCATGTTTCCATCCATCCATCCATCCATCCATCCATCCATCCAACCATATTTCCATCCATCCGTTTCCATCCAACCATCCAACCATCCATCCATGTTTCCATCCATCCATCCATCCATGTTTCCATCCATCCATGTTTCCATCTATCCACCCACCCACCCACCCATCCATCCATCTATCCATCCATCCATCCATGTTTCCATCCACCCATCCATGTTTCCATCCACCCATCCACATTTCCATCCATCCATCTATCCATCCATCCATCCGCCAATAATTCTCATTATTTTATACCACCCATGAAAGTTCTCCTGAAGTCCTGAATATATCCACCCATCAATTTTTTTCATCCATTTGCTCAAATATATTCTTTTGTCACAAGACTGGTTTAAGCCTACTGTAGTAGTTACCCTGAAAAATAGAAATTATTGAGCCTGGGGGATTATCGTTCACAGATTTAGTATTTCTAGTTGATTAGATAGCTTGTTTGTGGCTATCCAATTACCCAGCACAGTCCAACATGCAACCAGCTTTCAGCCAATAGCATTTCCAAAATGCAAAACACAAATAAACGTCTCTATATATGGAATCACAGTCACTACCTTTCATTGTCTCCAGTTCTATCCAACCTAATAATATGTTTTGAGTTATTATTAGCCACTATCAGTCCCTGAACAGTTAACCTCTCTACTAAAGATGTTTTCTCTTTTGGGATGCAAAACTAAAAATAACAGATATTACCAACCTATGATGATACTTCAAATTCTTTCCTCTGTTTACGTACCATGTTGATTGGATGGCACGCCTTAATAATGGACTACAGTAAATTAAAGGAAGCGTTTAAAAATAAGGGTTGAAAATAGCAAGCAGCATGCAGAATGACGTCAGCCAAGTGATCAAGACAATGCTCGTGGCATTTGAGGAGTGGTCCAGCATGAAAAAAAAAACCCTCTTGCATTTAGAAATATCTCAGGTCAGAGGGTGTCCAATTTTGGCAACTTCAAGATTTGTGGACTTCAACTCCCAGAATTCCTCAGTCAGCATGAAAGATAGAAATGATAGATAAAAATACAGAGAAATGATAGATGATGGATGGATGGATGGATGGACGGACGGACAGACAGGATAAATACGTAGAGATGGTAATAAATATAGATAGATAATAAATGATAGAGATAATAGATAATATAAATTAAATAATAAATGATAATGGATGGCTAGATAGATAATACATACATAGGATAGGTAGGTAGATAGATAGATAGATAGATAGATAGGGTAGATAGACAGACAGACAGGGTAGGTAGGTAGATAGGGTAGGTAGGTAGACAGATAGATAAGGTAGGTAGGTAGATAGATAGGGCAGGTAGGTAAGTAGGTAGATAGACAGACAGATTAGGTAGGTAGGTAGATAGACAGATAAGGTAGGTAGGTAGATAGATATGGTAGGTAGGTAAGTAGGTAGGTAGACAGACAGACAGATTAGGTAGGTAGGTAGATAAACAGATTAGGTAGGTAGGTAGATAGATATGGTAGGTAGGTAAGTAGGTAGATAGACAGATTAGGTAGGTAGGTAGGTAGACAGACAGATTAGGTAGGTAGGTAGGTAGATAGGGCAGGTAGATAGGTAGGTAGACAGATAAGGTAGGTAGGTAGATAATAAATGATGGATGGATAGACAGATGGGTGGATAGATGGTAGATAGATAATAAAAGATAAATAAAGGATGGATGGATGGACGGATAGATTTCACGGATAAATGCAAGTTACCTATGGCTATGTAATGTGACTAAATATGAAGAAGAAGAATTAGAAAACGAAATTCAAGACAGACAAGATGGAGAATGCATTATCTAAACAGGTAATGTTCTCCTGGTTCATAGATAAGAGTACGAGAAAACCTTGTTTTTAAGTAAGCCTGAGAAGAAAAAAAATCAATGACGAAGATCCATAATAATAACAGCCAGGATTGAACACAATTGGATTCATCCTCACAGGGGGAGAAAAAAAACAACAGCTAAATGAAGGTAGAAAATGAGTGCTGGAGAGACCGAACAAACTGTTGAGAGACTGAATAGAATAAACAGTTGGAACCACCATAGAGACACATTTTTCACAGGGCCTTCTTTGATTAATGCTTAATGACATAATCAGCTTGGGGAACGAGATTTATAACCCGAACACACGATTTCTTAGTTGGTGATTCCGATTACTCTTTTTTCTTCCTTGCTTTTATAAAGCATGGTTTGTTTTTTTCCCAAGTTGTTCCACGGAGATTTACAAAAAAAGAAAAAAAGATTATCTTGTCTGCAGACTCATAAGATTAAAGAGATAAAAAAGCAACAGATTTCAGGCACTTATTCCAAAACATTTTCCCAACAACCAGATGACACAGCAGCCGCTCCGCAAATCCCATACTGCTTTCGGGAAAAGAGTGCAACAGCAATAATAATAATAAAAAAATTGTACACCCAAATTTGGTAGACTTCTAAAAAATCTGGACATATAGAGAGATTCTAAACTCTGAAGGGAATTTAAAATCTAAACAAGAAATGGAAAATCAGGGCATCAACCTATCCTTGTGGGCATATTTACAAATGCAAACTAGATATGATAAAGATGTTAAACTGTATGGATTTTATAAAGAACAAACGGTGTTTGATACGACTTTGCTAACCTCAGATGAGAAATTAATTAATTAAATAATAATAATAATGATAATGATAATAATGATGATGATGATGATGATGATGATGATGATGATGATGATGATAATAATAATAATAATAATAATAATAATAATAATAATAATAATAATAATAAAAAGATGTTTACACAGATAGTCCTCGACGTACCACAATTTGTTGTAACCCCTGTGCAGGTATTCCTTGACTTACAACCATTCGTTTAGTGATGGTTTGAAGTTACAACGGCATTGAAAAAGGTGACTTATGACCATTTTCACCTTTGCGACTGTTGCAGCATCAATATAACTTACAACCGTTTTTCACACACACCATTCCCACGGTCACGGGATCAAAGGTCAGACGCTTGGCAACTGACTCATATTTATGACGGTGTCCTGGGGGGTCACGTGATCCCTTTTGCGACCTTCTGTCAAGCAAAGTCAACGGGGGAAGCCAGAATCACTCAACAACCGTGTTGTTAACTTAACAACTGCAAGGATTTGCTTAACGATGGTGCCAAAAAAGGTCGTAAAATGGGCAAAATTCGCTTAAGAAATATCTCGCCTAGCAACAGAAATTTTGGGCTCAATTGTGGCCGTAAGTCGAGGACTATCCGTATTGCTCTTGTTTTAATACCAGACAAGGCAAAGAGAAACTAGTTCAAAAGTGCTGGTTTTGAACTATTCAGCATTATATCAGTGAGAGCCCATTTATATTTTAATATTTTTTTTTTCATATTTCAGCTTCTTCTCTTGCTATCTTGTCAGGAACGGACGATAGCGTTTGATTTCACCTGGTTCATCTGGTTTGATAATGTTTCTTGGCAATTTATGATTCAACAATTACAAATAGTGAACTAACTCTGGACAGAATGTTATCAATACAATAAAAATGATACGCAATAAACAAACCAGCGAAAGTGATTGTGAACTGAGACTATACGGAGAACTTTGACATAAGGAAAGGCACAAGGCAAGGATGTCCACTACCTCCGCTGCGATTCATTTTCACTTTGGAAGTTTTGAATAGAAATATTGGACAAGATATAGAAATCAAAGGACTAGAAATAAAAGGTGGAATATATAAATTACAAGCATTTGCTGATGATTTGGTGTTTTATTTTAGAAGGACCTTTGGAGAGGATTCCTAAACTATTGGGAAAGACAGAACAGCATGGAGAAATGGCAGGATTGAAAATAAATAGAGAAAAAAAACTAAAGTAATAGTTAAAAACCTTACAGATAAGCAAACCCCACCCCCCCCCCAAATATCAGAAAAGACAGAATTGCAGATAGTTAAAAAGGTTAAATATCTGGGGATGCAGTTATTTCAGCTTCTTCTTCTGCTATCTGTCAGGAACTGATGATAGCGTTTGATTTCATCCGGTTGCCTTGGTAATAACTAATGTTACGAATCCAGTATTACCGTATTTGTCGCTATTTTTTTCCCTGCAAACACCCCTGTTCAAAAACCAGGTGCGTCTTATACAAGCGCAGTGTCTTATACACGAAAAAATAACGGTAACCTCCGCAGCCCAGGGCATGCCTGTGTGGGTTGCCATGCCCCCTGGTGCGGGTGTCAAGCCCCTGTGGGCTTGCCCCTAATGGGAGGGGGGAGGGGGCAAGATCGTCGGCCGGTCGAAGCTCCGGATTTGCAGGCGGATTGGGGCGGAGAAACTCGCACGCCACAGTGTCTTATACAAGGGTACGTCCTATAGACGGAAAAATACGGTAGTTTCTCTGCCCAGTTTAAAATCCATACAGTAGTGGCCAAAATGGTGGAAACCTTTTGGGAAAAGTGTACAGTAGAAATGCCACCTTTGGTTAAGTTTCCACCCATTTTTCTTCTAATTTCTTTATAACGGTAGCCTTGTCCGCTTAATAATACTATTTTACATCGCTTTCTGGACGAATAGTCAACTCTTTGCACCATGACTTTAATTTTATTACGTTTTACAAGCTCACTAAAATGAAAGAACACAAAAAAACCCAACCAACGTGATAGCGATCACATAACACACTGACAAATGTCCTCCTCTCGGCTTCAATATATGACATCGATAATTGAATCCTACTGTGATCTGATTGGCTCATTGCCAAAACAAGATGACACCTGATTGGCTCTCTAAACACTCATGCTCACTGCCTCCAGAAGCGGTGAATGCTCCAACACTGGAAGTTTTTAAGAAGAGACTGGACAGCCATTTGTCCGAAATGTATAGGGTTACCTGCCTGAGCAGGGGGTTGGACTTGATGACCTCCAAGGTCCCTTCCAACTTTTTATTATTATTATTATTATTATTATTATTATTATTATTATTATTATTATTATTATTATCTACAATCGGATGAAGGAAAGCTACCTGAGATCAACCTAAGCAAGTTGCGCTTCCTTTTTCTGGTTATTTGGCTATAACTTTTCATAGAACACAGTACAGATAATTGAACAAACTTTGTTGCATTACATTCTTGATTAAATTATCTTTCCATTGATATATAATTTTATGGTAGTGCTCCCCCCCAAAAAGTGGTGTTATTAGCCATCAAACCTCAAAAATCCACTTTTCCCAAAAGGTTTCCACAATTTTGGCCACTCCTGTAAGTAGGGAGGGAAAAAGCTACGTGGGGGAGAGAATTACTTCATTCTCGTAAGCAGCTTTGGGAAGGATCAGATAGGATAAGACAGAGAAGGTAGTTTACGGTTTTTTTTAAAAGTTAAGTCGGAAGCTTGTCGGAGGTGATAAAAGAGCCAATGAAGTTGTCCTGCGGAACGGAACGCAAGCCTTGTGCGTTAATGAGTTGCTGAGTCTATCTCGGCAAAGGCCACCAGGTCTCCTGCTTAGTGGGTTTCTTCGCCTTTTATTTGGAGAATGTGAAAACAGGTTTTTTTTACGGGTGAGAAAGCGGCAGATCTGGACAGCCAAACTCCATTAGAGCACAACACGAATCAATCACCAGCCAAGATAAAAAGGAGGCAGTCTTAATGGAAAGGACTATCTCAGATCAGTGTTGAGTCACCTGGCTGTTATTTTATCCTGTGAATTTTAACCAGTGGAACAGCTTTTGCCTTCGGAAGTCGTGGGCGCTCCACCACTGGAGGTTTTTAAGAAGAGACTGGACAGTCACTTGTCTGAGATTAATAATAATAATAATAATAATAATAATAATAATAATAATAATAATAATAATAATAATAATAATAATAATAATAAAGTTGGAAGGGACCTTGGAGGTCATCGAGTCCAACCCCCTGTTCAGGCAGGAACCCTACACAATTTCAGACAAATGGCTGTCCAGTTTCTTCTTAAAAACTTCCAGTGTTGGAGCATTCACCGCTTCTGGAGGCAGGTGGTTCCACTGCTTAATTGTTCTGTCAGGAAGTTTCTCCTTAGTTCTAGGTTGCTTCTCTCTTTGGTTAGCTTCCACCTGTTGCTCCTTGTCCTGCCTTCAGGCGCTTTGGAAAATAGCTTGACTCCCTCTTTTTTGGGGCAGCCCCTGAGATATTGGAAGACTGCTATCATGTCCCCCCTCGTCCTTCTCTTTGTTAAACTAGACATACCCAATTCCAGCAACCTTTCCTTATATGTTTTAGCCTCCAGTCCCCTAATCATCTTTGTTGCTCTTCTCTGTACTCTCTCCAGAGTCTCAACATCTTTTTTACATCATGGTGACCAAAACTGGATGCAGTATTCCAAGGCATTGTAAAGTGTTATTACCAAGGCATTGTAAAGTGGTATTAATACTTCACGTGATCTTGATTCTATCCCTCTGTTAATGCAGCCTAGCACTGTGTTGGCTTTTTTGGCAGCTGCAGCATACTGCTGGCTCATATTTAAATGATTGTCCACTAGGACTCTGAGATCCCTCTCACAGTTACTACTACTGAGCAAGGTACCCCCTATACTATACCTGTACATTTGGTTTTTCTTGCCTAAATATAGAACCTTACTTTTTTCACCATTGAATTTCATTTTGTTAGATAGCGCCCAGTGTTCAAGTCTGTCCAGATCCTCCTGTATCCTAAGCCTGTCTTCTGGAGTGTTGGCTATTCCTGCCAGCTAAGGGGCTGGACTAGAAGACCTCCCAGGTCCCTTCCAACTCTCTCATTCTGTTATTCTCATTTGCAAGAGGTACAGATGTTGCCGCAGAAAGCTGGAAAGAACATTTTTGTTAAGGTAAAAGCCACATCTGGCCTTGGGCTTTACATTATGCTGCATTATTTTAGAAACATTAGTGCTCATTCAGATTCAGTTTCCTTCCCTGCTGGCTATTCAACCGATTTGGAACAAATATTGAAAAGGTTGAAGCCGAAATGTTCCCAGAGCAAGTGCAAAGAGTCATAGGCACATTATACTGAAAGGCTAATTTTATGTTTTGCTATTTTGCATTGTTAAACCGTGTTCACGATGTTCCCCGTCTCGTAAACTGATAATAAACTTTTTAAAAAGTGGAATGATACATACATGACTGTGTTAATACCTGCCAGCTGTTGGAACATCTGTAAACTACAACCCACGATCAATTGTCTTCGAGTGGGTGGATAGCTCAGCATTCGGTAGATCACCGGTCCAGCTTCAAAAGAAAGAAAAAAAGAAAGAAAAGAAGTTTTAATTAATTTAGGGTTTTCGCGTCCTGGATCTTCTGCATATAATTCTTTTTATAGCATACATCCTTAGTATAGGTCAGGGATAGGCAACCTTGGCTCTTTTATGACTCGTGGACTTCAACTCCCAGAATTCCTGAGCCAGCCTGGCTCAGCTTGGAAACCTCTCCCTTTCCCCTCAGCGTGGCTGGCTCAGGAATTCTGGGAGTTGAAGTCCACGAGTCATAAAAGAGCCAAGGTGGCCTACCTCTGGCCTAGGCCTAGGCCGCTTTGTGACTCGTGGACTTCAACTCCCAGAATTCCTCAGCCAGCATGGCTCAGCTTGGAAACCTCTCCCTTTCCCCTCAGCGTGGCTGGCTCAGGAATTCTGGGAGTTGAAGTCCACCAGTCATAAAAGAGCCAAGGTTGCCTACCTCTGGCCTAGGCCTAGGCCGCTTTGTGACTCGTGGACTTCAACTCCCAGAATTCCTCAGCCAGCATGGCTCAGCTTGGAAACCTCTCCCTTTCCCCTCAGCGTGGCTGGCTCAGGAATTCTGGGAGTTGAAGTCCACCAGTCATAAAAGAGCCAAGGTTGCCCACCCCTGCCCTATATCAGGGGTCCTCAATCTTGGCAACTTTTAAGACTTGTGGACTTCAATTCCCAGAATTCCTGAGCCAGCCTGGCTCAGCTTGGAAACCTCTCCCTTTCCCCTCAGCGTGGCTGGCTCAGGAATTCTGGGAGTTGAAGTCCGCGAGTCATAAAAGAGCCAAGGTTGCCCACCCCTGGCATAGGTAGTCCTTGATTTATGATCATAACTGAGCTCAAAGTTTCCGTTGCTCAGTGAGATAGTTGTTAAGTGAGTTTTGCCCCATTTTATGACCTCTTTCCAGAGTTAAGTGACTCATTGCAGCTGTTCAGTTAATAATGCATTGGTTAAGTCAGTCTGACTTCCCCGTTGACTTTGCTTGTCAGAAGCGCGCAAAAGGGGCTGTGATGACCCAGGGCACAGCACAAAGGCAATGCAGACAGCTGGCAAGGTAAACAGTTCTTTAATGGTTGCAAATTTCCTTCAAACGGTCCCACATTTGCTGGCAAGCCTCCAACCCAAATACCCCACACACACACACCTTCCAGCCGACTCTGGCTGAAGGCGGTTTCAGTACAGCCTGATTAGTATACGAATGTCCTCAAGGCCATAAAGGTAACAAACCAAACCAAACATCAAGTTAATGAGTCCCGCTTGAATCTCAGCTTGCCTGCCTGCACCATTTGCAAAGAGAAAAGTCAAAAATGCAGTCTGAGGTCGTAATTCAGGAAATCCACCTGGTCAGCCGGTCCGGTGGTCAAGGTGTCCGGGCACAGAACAAGAGCAACAATACACAACTTTCCCAAGATTCAAACGTCTGTTCCTGACAAAGTCCCCAATAAAGGTTATCTATCTATCTGTTAAGTGTCTAAAAACCCTAACAAACTGGTTTAATCAGAAGTTTCAACCCTGACCAATGAAATGTTATAAGCAAAGTGGCTAAAAAGGCTGACTGGTAAATTACAAAACTCTTGCGGCAAGCTGGGCATGCAGGTGATTGTGAAGCAAGTTACCGCTTCTGAGGGTCTTAATCTATCCCCGTTTGCGGGAATAAAACAGTGGGTTTAAAAGAAAAAAATAATGCAAGAGCCTCAATAGCATATAAAGAAAGTGATTTAGTGAAAGTGGAAAGGGAATTTAGATGACCCTACAAAGAAGACCCCAAAAGTACTAAGAGTGGAAATTTCACTGAGGGGAGATAGTAGCCAGGATAATAACCACTTCTGTCATATCAGCCTCCATAATGATGTTTGCTTTTATTGATGGAATCCTAGGTCCAAAAGATGTTATTGAAAAAATGTCAGCTGGAGCAGAGGTCCCCAACCCCCAGTCCGTGGACCGGTACCGGACCAGAGCATAACAGCAACCGGGCCGCACAAACAAGCAAAGCCCCATCCGCGGGATGCAGGCAGCACACAAAACCAGGCCCCCTCCGATCTGTGGAAAAACCTCTCTCCACGGAACCGGTCCCTGGTCCCCCAAAAGTTGGGGACCTCTGAGCTAGAGCAGAGGTCCCCAACCTGTGAGCCGTGGCCCACTAGTAGGTCGTGCGGGGTTTGCAATTGGGCTGCGGAAAAGGCCGGCGAGCACACGCTGCTCCCGCAGAACCGTCCCCTCCCCTTCTGACATGTTCCCCGGAAATGTTGGGGAACTCCGAGCGAGCGAACAAATCCTATTGGACAAGACAGAGACGGTATCAAAAGTGGATTTAGAGCTGAGAGATGAAGAGGTTGTCTTAGAAAAGGAGGCTTCACTGGATCTACAAAAGAAACTGGCCGAGATGTTAAAATTGAAAAATGCAAGTGACCGTACGACCGAGAGAACTTTTTCCTTCTTCTTTTTGGATGTACAAAAAAGTCTTCTTAATCCTGGTTAAGGCCGGGTGATAGGGCAAGGAAAGAAAGAAAACAAATTTTACGACACTAATTAGAATGAACTACAGATTAGCAGTGTTAGAAAAGGAATATAAAGTTGGTGTGCTTGATTTTCTCTATTTATTTATATATCCTATTCAAAAACCACCAATCTCCCTTGTAGGACAACTGATTAAAGTTAAAATAAGATATGATGTTACTTCTGGCTTCCTTTTATGTATTTTTTTGCTGACGCCAGGACTGAAAAGATATGTTTCATGAATTTTAGATACTGGAATAAAGAGATAAATACTAATAACCTTAAAGGAGATATGTGTGTGTGTGTGTGTGTGTGTGTGTGTGTGTGTGTGTGTGTGTGAAGAGCCACTATTTTGTTATATATCTTTGTTTTAATGAAGGTTGGAATTTACATGTTTTTCCCCTTTTTCTTTTATTATATTCTAACTTCCTTTTTTCTTTTCTCATTTTCCCCCTTTTTACTCATTTTTATTCTTTTTTCCTTTAAGTTATAGTGTTAGGATAATACTTTATTGCTTGTAAAAGTCTCGCTTACATAAATTTTGGGCTCAGAGAAGTACAGTGATACTCTATATTGCTCACTTTATTACAAATATTTAGCAATGCACAACAGCTTTTATTTCAATTTTGCTAAGGAGGAGATCGGTTCTGTTACTCAATGTTAATTATTGTCTGTTCTCCTTATGTTTCTTCCTGGCAAAAACATCTCCAACTACTACCCACGCATTTTCAGTTTATTGTACTACTAATCTAACAATGGTTTTAAATTTAGAATATACGTACAATAATCACTGTGGGTCATTATGTAAGCGGTGAGCAGATACATGCGTTTATTAAAAACAAAATTACAATTTAAACATAATCGAAGGAGCAGATCTTTAACGAAGTACTTTTTAAAAAAAAGATAAGTTCTATGCTCAAATTAAAACAAGGGTTATATAATTGTTTTTCAATTCTTTCATACATGAAATGTTTATTTAAAAAAATGTTTTATTTAAACGTACTTTGAGGCAGCTGTGTATGTCTCCCCTATTTCTTCTTTTCTTTAGACTAGCCAAACCCAAGTCCCGCAGCCATTCTTCGTATGTTTTGGTCTCCAGGCCTGTGATCATCTTAGTTGCTCTTCTCTGAATTTTTTCCAGACTCTCACAACATTTTTTTTTGTGATACGGTGACCAAAATTGGCTGCAATATTCCAGGTGTGGTCTTACTAGGGCTTTATAAAGTGGTACTAGCACTTCGCGTGATCATCATCATCATCATCATCATCATCATCATCATCATCATCATCATCAAAGTTGGAAGGAACCTTGGAGGTCATCTAGTCCAACCCCCTGCTCAGGCAGGAAACCCTATACCATTTCAGACAAATGGCTGTCCAGTCTCTTCTTAAAAACTTCCAGTGTTGGAGCATTCACCGCTTCTGGAGGCAAGTCGTTCCACTGATTAATTGTTCTAACTGTCAGGAAGTTTCTCCTTAGTTCCAGGTTGCTTCTCTCCTAGATGGGTTTCCATCCATTGCTTCTTGTCCTGCCTTCAGGCGCTTTGGAGAATAGCTTGACTCCCTCTTCTTTGGGGCAGCCCCTGAGATATTGGAATACTGCTGTCATGTCCCCCCTCGTCCTTCTCTTCATTAAATCTTGATTCTATGCCTCTGTTTATAAAACCCAGGATTGTGTTAGCTTTTTTGGTTGCTGCTGCACACAGCTGGCTCATGGTCAAGTGATCGTCCATTAGGACTCCAAGGTCCCTCTCACAGTTACTACCTCCAAGCTGGGTCTCGCCCAATCTGTATTTGTTCCTTTGGTTTCTCCTGCCTAAGTGTAAGACTTTGCTTTTCTCCACATTTATTGTTGTCGTTGTCAGGAAATTTCTCCTTAGTTCTAGGTTGGCTTTCTTATTGATTAGTTTCCATCCATTGCTTCTTGTTCTGCCTTCTGCCTTGTTCTGCCTTGCATTAATGATTTACCTGTGGAGATGGTTACCAGCATCAAATTCCTGGGTGTGCAGCTAACGGGTAGACTGACTTGGTCGCTCAACAGTGAGACACTGGTGAAGCAGGCACTGCAGTGCCTGCATTTTCTGCGTCGCATGAGAAAAGCACATCTTCCTTCCCCTGTCCTGACCACTTTCTACAGGGGGACAATCGAGAGCATCCTGTCATACAGCATCACAGTCTGGTTTGGAGGCATCCCTGCTTCAGACAGGAAGGCGGTGCAGAGTGGTGAGGACGGCAGAAAAGATCATTGGCAGTTCCCTCCCTCCCATCCAGGACATAGCACAGAAGCGTTGCTTGAGCAGGGTGTGTAGGATTATCTGGGACACTACACATCCTCTTCACAACCTGTTTTCCTTGTTACCTTCTGGGAGGAGGGGGCTCCGTGGTATCTGTAGCAGAACATCCAGATTTAGCCATAGTTTCATTCCATACAGCATTAACCTTGGGAACTCTCAAGCTTCCTCCTTCCGTTATATATTCAAGATGGACAATATTTAATATTTATTTGCTAT